ATCCATCTCTGGGAGATCACAGGGAATATCCCACCTCCATTTGCACAAGAATTTTGCAGCTCTGGAGATGACATCTCCATTCAGTAATGCCCTTGATCCCAAATCCCTGTAGTTATCCCCAGGACTGAACAAACCCTCATTCTTTGCCCTCAGCCCCACATCTTCCTATTCAACTGTGGCCATTCCCTCCACCTAACTGGATCCCACACTATCTCAGACCAGGAGAGCTTGGCCTGCTTTCTGCTCCTTGAGCTGTTTGAGCATGCTGCCAAGGAAGATCTGGGCTCACAGGAGGCTTGGGATAGAACAACAGGCAGAGGCTTTGCGGTTGGATTCCACCTTCTGCACAGGCAGCCTTGGCACTGAGACTTCAACCTGGCTAAATTAGAACATGGGTTGTGCCTCAGCCTGACAGATTAAGGACAGGTCCTTTACCTTCGGGAGGGGCTGGGGGGCAGAGCAATGACCCTGGGCCGGGCTGTCAGCACCACTTCCCCACAGCTGGCTTCCACCAGGATGTTCTGCAGTGTGTTTTCCAGCACCATCTCCACCAGACTCCTGAAGGCTGGCTGCCTGGGGGTTATCAGACAGTCGATAAGGAAGGATGCTTGTTGCAGCTCCTCCCAGCACACAACAGGCACAGCAGCAGAGCACACAGTTTTATACATGCTGAGGCCAACAAACAGTTGCTCTGTGTGTGCAGATCTTCCTCACCCTTTCATCATCGCCTTCTGCTCCCTCAGCTGCTCATGATGAAAAACCTCACTCAGCCCCTCCCAGGAGCCCAGAAAATCATTGCTGGGAGAGGATTCTTGGCTCATTTCTTTTTTCTCTCCATTCTCCTCGGTGAAAAGATCTGGAGAAGCAGAGAGCCTGGAGGAGATGGTGGAGCACTGTCCTCTATGTTGGGTCTTTGCCATTTCTTCACACTGAAACTGGGAGAAATACGGGATGGGCTCCTGCAGGCATTTCCTCACTGCATCATGGAACTGGGTGTTCTCCAAGAGGCCCCTGGGGGGAGGAAAAGAATGAGTCCCAGAAAATCAGGTATCCGAGTGACCCCAGAGGGTCATTGTAAGCCAGAGCAAGCCAGAGGGAGAATGTGGAATATAGGGGCTGCAAAATGGGTGAGGATGAAGGGGCACACACCTGATAACACCCATCAGCATGTCCATCACTATCTGCAACTCCTCTTTGGAAGCAGTAGCTAGGGACAGCCATTTGTGGTCCATCTCCATCCTCTCTCTGTCCACACTCCCATCCACAAATGGCAGCTGGTGGATGCTGGGGCTGAGAACCAGGGAGATGTTCCATCAGTGCCACGCTTCCTAAGTGAGCTCCTGCAGGCCTGCAGCCTCCTGGCTGAACAGCAGCACCACAGGAAGCAGGGAGCTTCTTCTGGGGAGGCACTTTCCCAGAGGAGCACTATGCTCTGACCGTATCTCCCAGTGGGCCACTTCTCATCCCAGTCCCTTACCGGGGCAAGAAGTATTTGGGGAATTCCGAGGCAAAGTTGCTGAAGAAGTCCTCAGTAGAGTGGGACCTTGCTGTCACATCAAGGTGTAAAAGGATGGGCCTAGGAGGCTCTGGCTTGACCCACACATGGCTGGCTTCTTTGTCTGACAGCAGCTTCCTCTGCAAGTGCCCTGCAGGCAGGTTGGCCACAGGGTGGTTCTTAATGGGGGGCAGCGTCTGTCAGAGAGCAAGAAATACAGATTCTTACTGCTCCTCCAGCCACGGGACTGGGTTAAGTGGAACCACTTTCATGTCTCCCCAGCCATCTTTATGCTTGTTCCAGAGAATGCCCTGATCTTATAGCCTTGCTGCCCCAATGTGACAGCAGTTCAGGTGCTGCCTGCCCTGCCCACATGCAGCTCTTCTGCTTATTCAAAACCTTCTAAATCTATTCAAAAAGGGTTGCTGCAGCTGTGGGTGCATACAGGGTTCCAAGTTCCCTTCCCATTCCCCTCAGTTGGAAAGTTACAGTCCATGGGGCACAGCCAGACAGTCTGATTCTCCTGGCTCTTCCAAACAGTCTGTGTCCCAAAGCCTTGAATCTACAAATCCTGTGCTTTCTGCCCGGGCTCCCACACAGCATCTGCCTCTGTGCTAACACAGCCAGTTTGATTCTGCAGCTGCTGAGCCGGGCCTGACTTACCTTGAATTTCCTGACCACTGCTGAGGGCTCACGGAAATTTTCTGTCTCAGCAGAATCTGGTGATTTCTAAAAAGAAAAAAGAAGACAAAAGGAAAGAAAGAGAGAGAAATCACAGTGTATGGAAAGATAAGGAGTTGAATGAGACTTCAGGATTCTCTTTTACCTTGCCCCAGCTGAAAGCCAATGACCCAGTCCTCCCATTCTGCACTGGCCACATTCTTCATGGTAGTTACATGCTTTATGCCACTGTTTACCCATGTTTACAAATTCAACTACCAATTTCCAGAGTTGCAGGTTTTGTTTTTTTTCCTAAAGCTGCTCATACACCTCCAAATTTCAGATGATTGTTAGCAAATGCAGAGTTTGCAGTGCGTTTAGAAAAGTAATTTTCAAGCTCCTCCCTTTGCAATACTTACCCCAGCGGGTGGCCTGGGCTTCCTCTCAGCCCTGAGGTCCTGCTCTGTGATGGTGAACTCCACTGCCTGACGTTCTTTTTCCCTTTCCCACTCTTGCAGGTCCCTCTCGTACTGAACCAGGGACTCCTGGATGTACACCTACAGAGCACACCACGATTGAGGAGCAGGGAAAGGAGCTGCAAATGACAGAGCCTGAAGGTGGAGACTGTTGGGCTAGCTCAGGTGACAGGAGCACAGGGGCTCCTGGTTCTCACCTCACACACCAGGTCTGTGCTGTAGAAGGACACTCTCCCTGAAGGCTGCAGAGTGATGAAACAGGGGGTGCTCCCTCCAGGCTGCACAACTCCCTGCTCTGGGGCAACCTGCAATACCTGTGGGGAAAATAAAAAAAGCCACAGAGGATTTGTTTCTTTGTCCTGTGCCCTTGTTATGTGCCTCTCCCTGCAGGAAATTCAGATCTGTGGGGTTCCTCATGCTATTCTAGGTAAGGTAGGGTAGAGGAAGGGTAAAGAAGGGTAGAGAAGGGTAGAGGAAAAAGAAGAAAGGACTCGCCTCACTGTCTTTCACGCTGCCTGTCCTCCAGGTGAACACAACTGCCTTGTTCTCTGAGATATTATTGAGAAAGACCAGTCGGCTGGCTCTGGTGCAGTTTGGGATATTCCCAATGCAAATCCTGTGGTGTGATAAGGAGGCAGCCTGCAGGAAGCAGAGTGAAACGGACCTATTGCAGTGGATTTGAGGAAGCAAGGAGCAGGACATTCTGCTGGTGTTGGGGAAGCGGATCTTTCACATGTTTTTGGTTTGACCATATTGCTCATATCAGCACTTGGACTTACCTGCCCAGTCACAGTTAGTTTGGTGGAACCCAGAAGGACTGAAGGGGACATAACTTCTCCAAAAGTGGCACTCTCTTCTGTGGCTTTTGGATCGTAGCCTTCTCCCTGGAAGGTGATCAGAGCTGACTCACCCCCCAGGATGTGGATGGGAACATCAACCTGCCGTGGACAAAATAAGAGCATGAAGTCCATAGCTGTGATCAGAAAAGATATGCAAAAAGGCAGTGCTCTGGCTAACAGACTACAATTGGTTTATGTAAATCACACTCATACGTGAAGAGAAATCCAGGTTCTTTTACTTTCTTTTCAGTAGTGCACACTGTAGGGATGAAATATTTCAGCTTCAGTCTCTTTTGTGGGAGTTATTGGAAGCCAGCAGTGAACCACAAATCCGACCAGATACTGTTTATACCCTTTAGGTACTGTTAGATCCTTGAAAAAATATATATTGTGATGCCTCTGGCTGTGGAAGAAATGTGCTCTTTGGGATGGAGATGCTTATGAGACTATCTACCTGCTCTCAGATTCTGCTTCTTGGAGGGATGGAGCTCAATTCAGCTGTAGCATTGCACAGACCAAAAATCAGTACAAAATCTAAAGAATGTGAGGTGTAGGACAGCAGAAAGGTACTTGGCAGTTATGAGAAAGGCCTTACCAAGTATTTTCTGGCTTCCAGTGGTGAGAAGATCCACTCAATATGACCTGTAGTGCCAGGGGCGATTTCTCCTCTGGGAGTCAAGCAGATAAATACACAATGCTGATAATTGTCCTTCTGCACCCTCATGATGCTGTCCAGCTGAACCTCAAACATCACTGTCATGGAGCTCCCGTTGTAAAGTTCATAAATCTAATGTGAACCACAGAGTGGAATGCTCATGAAAACCCTGCACAAGTTAAACCAGTTAACACTTCCCCAGAGGACTCTGATAAGAATTAGTAATTAATTAGTCAGCCCATCTCCTAAGAATGAGGGACTTCGTAACATCAGGAGTTATCACAGAGGCTCTAATATGCTCTGTGCTGAAGGTTTATCACTGCACATGTATGCTGATGACTACAATGCCTCTCCAAGTGGTGCCCTGTGAATTTAGTCTAGGAAAAAATTAATACAAGTTAGCTAAAGGAATCACTGTAAAGGGGATTATTTGAAATGCAAGAACACTCTTACTAAAGTGATTTTAATTCAATTCAGTCTTGCTCATTTCCCAAACAAATTAGGCAGAACAGAATCAAAGCTCCTCCTTTTTTTTTTTTTTTTTTTTTTTTTTTTTTTTTTTTTTTTTCTGAATAAGTATTTAAGGAAGTTTAATTAATTTACTAAGAAACTAATTAGGATTTATTTCCAGAGTGCCTGGAGCAGCTAGGCAAGTCATCACTCAGATCCAACACAAAAGAACAGGGGAAGAGTCCAACACACTCTATAAGCATTCTGATTGAAGCCAATGCCAAATCTCATAGAACTGGAGGTAAGGAGAGACGCCTCCCCTACAACCGTCTCAGCACCCAGTTCCAGGCAACTGCTGCTGGGTTTGGCCCCAGAATACTCACCTGTATGGGGGGGTGGGATGTCCCAATGGCAATGGGCATGAAGAGATGTTTGGAGGAAGCAAAATGAACGTACCGCTGCTCCCTCTCCACCGTCACACCTCTGAAGTTCAGCTATGGCAGAAAGAAATGCAGTCACACAAAGCTTTGGCCCCATCAGCATTGATGACACAAATACTTTGCAAGCTGAGGGCAATCCATTCACAGCCTGACACTGGTAACACCAGGACAGTGAGCAAAGGCAAGGAGCTGAAGAGATTGCTCAACTGTTGACTTTTCTCTGAAAGGCTTGCAGGTTGTATCACATATGACGCGTTTCTTTTTCTTACATCAGGTACCAACATGGAGCCCAAAGGTTGCTGAAGTTCCCAGCTGAATTTCAGGTGATTGAGTAATGACTCAATCCTGTTCGTAAAGCGGCCACCACATCGTGCAAAGCAGATGGAGTTACAGAGCTGGTTCATGGAAAGGAAAAGACATGGGTTCTGCATATTGAGAAAGCTGTGGCTAGGCTCACATGAGTCATGGTGCAAGGTTTCCAGCAGGATCACCTCAAAGCACCCCCAAGCTGTCTGCTGCCTGGAGACGGGCTGAGATGGAATCACAGAGCTCATAATGTCTCTGCATGGACAAAGGGAGATAAGTCACTGCAATTTGCCATTAGCCTAAAGCACGGCTACTTTCCAAGTGCACGCACAGAAGATAAGGAAGACACTAGAGATGATAGCTGGAAGGCTTGGATGGACATCCGAGGGAGATGCTGTGCATATCAGCAGCTTAAACAAGAGCAGAGAATGCTGATTCTTCCAGAAGAGCTCCTTCCAGTTCAGATCCATAAGCAAAGTAAGAAAGGAGAGAGGACTAGAAATACAAAGCTAACAAAAACCTGCATGGGATTTCATTATTTCATCTTTTCAAAGCACTACATGAGCATTCATCCTCCCAGGGCCCTCAACAAGCCAGATACCGTGCAAGTAAAAGGAGAACGTAAGCTGTTGTTTCCAAACTGCAAAGGGGAAATGGATCAGAAACCCTCCTGCACTTTGGGAGCGAAGCACCCATTTATATTACTTGAAGGTGGATAACATCATTACTCTGAGGTGAAGCAGTCTGAAATTTGACAAAGGACCAGGCAGTATGCTAGCCTGAAGGTCTCCACCTCTGTGTCACTGCTATATCAGATTTCCAAAACCTAACTTCTGGGGTGACTTGACAGCGTTTGCTTCCCTTAAGGTTAGCATATATTCTGTAAGATTCTCTTGAGTTCCAGGTGAGAATCAGAACAGCAATGGCAAGGGTGATTTCAGTGGGTGTATGGGAACTGTTGATCACTGCCTGAACCTCTAATTGACCATCTGAGGCAAGCAATGAGTCAGCCTTGGGAGCACAGGTGAAGGCAATTCAGCTGTGCTACCAAAAGGGGTGGAGCCTGGCCAGGCTCTCCTAGATCCCATTTAAGTGCCAACTGCCACTAAAGAAGGATCTCTTTCTGGAAATTGTTTCTTGTGGAGTTTATTGGGAGCCTACAACATTGGTGAGCATTTTTCATTTATTATCTTTCCACTGCAGTAATCCTACTTAGACTAACCTCTGTACACTTATTGATTGTACACCTCTGTACACTTATTGATTGTACAAATGGATTATGGTGATTTCTGCCCTGGGGGTGGTGGCTCTACACTCCGTATCCATGCAAGGAAGGAGAACACTCTGCATTCAGCCCCTCAGCTGCCCTCTCTGTGGAAGGAAGAGCCTTTCCCACTCCTGTGTTCAGATATTGGCACTCTGGCGCTGTGCATCTTTTGGTTGTTGCAGTCACCTGTACTGCTTCAGGTCTCTGCTGCTGTCACAAAATTAGAGAATCACTTAAGAGGACCTCAAAGGCCATCTGGTCCACCACCCTGCAATGAACAGGGACACCCACAGCTCCATCAGGGGCTTAGAGCCCCTCCAGCCTGACCTTGAGCATCTCCAGGGACTGAGCTCCCACTGCTGCTCTGGGCAGCCTGAGCCAGTGCTTCACCACCCTTTCTGTAAACAACTTCCTTCTATCCAACCTAAAGGCACCTGTTCCCCCCAAAGCCTAATGGCTCAGTAGCCAGCTGGTGAAATGCTCATTGCCACTCTCTGTGCCAGGCAGGCAGAACACAGGGAGCCCGTCCAAGGGCTTTAAGGGAAGGCACAGTTAAGCCACTGTTTGAACAGCTTGGTCAAAGGGTTGGATTTTCAGCTAACAATAGTCCTGAAAGAAAAGAAAAATAAAAGAGATGTGTGAACACAATGGTCTCACAGGAAACTTCAGAGGCAGACAGGAAGGCTCAGATGGGCATGAGCTGTGCCTAGCAGAGCACAAGGTGAATCTGACTCTAACTGACAGTCTGAGACAGGGGGAGAGAGAAAAACTCATTCCAAGCCTGAGGAAATGCCATGGGATAACACACAACAGATCAGCTCTGGGATGTTTTAGCGAGTGGCAAAGCAGGAGGAATGAGTGGGAGGCTCCTCAGCTGTTGGCAAGGAGGAAGAAGTGGGTGGACTAAGGCTGGGACTGCAGCAGGAACAGCCAACCAGGAGTGCAGAGAATGCCTACTGGGTTGGAGTTTGTCACGATGCTGGCTTCATGTCTCTGTTTTGTCTGGTTCAGAGTGCAGGAGAAAGCCCCAGGCTCCTGGCCCATGCAGCTCCTGGAGGAATGCCCTCCTACCTGATGCTGTTCTGCAAACACACACAGCAGACACCTGCTGCCTTACCAGAATCTCATGGCCATAGGAAGCTTTCAGCAACACAGGCAGGTGATCAGTGCCAATGAAATCGTGTCTAGCAGTGTAAGAAGAATAGGGGAAAAAAAAAAAATTAGAAACCAACGTTGAGCCCAGGGTGGTAGAATCAGGGTCACACAGTACATTAGAGACAATTCATTTCCCTGCTAAAGAATCACTGTTGCGTAAGGGCCTCTGAGAAAGGGAGGGGGGCAGTTGTGCTTGGGTGGGAACAAGCGGTGCAGTGTTGGTTTTAATCATACACCAGTGCAGGGACCTGAGATTCTAGGCCATATGAAGCACCAGTGCTTCTCAGATCAGGTCTGTTATAGAAGGAGAGCTGGCCAACTGCCTGCAAACCTCCCACAGGCACAGAAGGCTCTAGCTCATGGCAAAGACAAGAATATCACTGTGTAGTCATCACTGCAGAAAGTACAGCTTAGGGACTTTGCACTTGCCCAATGTCTGCTGGGCAAGAGGCATATGAAGGGAAAGGATCTGGCATGGAAAAGGAGGGCATTCTGCCAGCAGGTGCTGTCCTGGCATGCAGGATGATGCCATCACCTGTGTGAGAGCTGGACAGCTTCCTCTTGTCCTGGAAGAAGCTTCCCTGACTTAGGGGAAATGCTGAAGAGCTGGTTATCCTGAATTCTCATCTGATGCAGCTCCTGCGGGCTGAGATCTGCATCCTCTGCCCAGTGCTCCATATCCATCTTCTGGTCAGAAGGAAAGAGGAAGGCCCTAGGGACCCAATGAGCTGGTCAGTGGCAGGAACAGACAGCTTGCCCAGGTCAGTGTGTTCAGTCCAGCCAGGCTTCTTCACCCAGACCCACTAACAGGCCTCATTCACAGCCTCACAACACAAACTACATAATTCCATTCATTCTCTAATATCTCATGGCCCCTGTGAGCATTCCCATCTCCACATGCAGACCCCAAGAGAAGGATGAGCTCCATCCAGCACCGCTTACCACTCCACAGGCACCACACCGTTGTTCACCAGCAGGAGCATCACAAGGGCGGGCTCCGAGCCTACGGGGGCAGCTCCAAAGTTGAAATCAAGCAGGAGAGGTGTGTATATGGGGGGGATCAAGCACGTGCTGATCAGCAGGGAGAAAGAAAAGGTTAAATTGAGACAGCGGGGTTGGAACCAGATGGTTTAAGGTTCCTTCCAACACAAGCCCTTCTATGATTCTGTGCTATCTACCTTCCTTATAATTCTTCTTTAATCCTTCAGCTCTTTTTGGAGAAAGAATGCTGTGCGTAAGGAACGCCTTTGGATTTTTCTCTGATCTTTTATGTATGGGACACATGGAGGATCTGTGAGTACTGCTTGGCTTACCCCTCACCTCACCTGTGCCTGGTGGGAACACTGCAGGTGAGCTCACTGGGAGCTGGGTCTCGCTGCAGGTATTCATTCAATGTGTCCAGGGAAAGCAGCCTCCAGAGGAGCAGCCTGCTGATGCCGCTGGCACTCCCTGCTGAGCAGGCGTCAGCAATGCGGAACGTTGGGTGGACGCCTGTTGCTTCTATGCAGCAAAGGAGTTGCTGCTCTGCTTTTGTACTTGCAAGATCTGGAACTTGGGGGACAAAAGTAAAGCAAAAGGGAGAGAGTGTGCAGGAGAGGATGGACTGCTCAGCAGAGGGGTTTCTGCTGTCAGGACGGTTACAGTCCTGCAGTTTGGTCTATTATAGCATAGACTGCTTGGCTGGGAGGGAACACCTTCTCTCCCTTCCTCCAAGCACCCATTTCTCACCTTCGGGGGTGCAGATTGCACAGCTGATGGACCAGGTGTAGTGCAGCTGCCGGGCTGGCCTGACTGTTACTCGCACAAAAGCTTTTGACCTTGCAGGGATTGTCCCTCTGGAGTTTTCCAGTTCCAAAGCTGTAGGAGAAAGAAGATGGTATGGGCTCTGGGCATCACCAGTGTATCCTAAAGCATACAAATATTTTGTACACAGCTTATGAGAATGGTTGCAAGTTAGCCAGCAAGCAGTTCAACCTCTGAGCACATGCTAGCACCGTTTTGCAGAAAAGTGGGGAAGAACAAGGCCCCATCCCAGGCTAATTTCCCCCAGTACCTATTGGATCACTGCAGACTTCCTTGGGGTCACAAAGCCCAGTGATCAGCTGTTCCACACTGAGGATATACTGCAGAGAACAGACCCCATCATTCAGAAGTACCATGCTGCAGTCTTTCAGGTTGCCAACCAGAACATTTCCAAGGTCCAGGTGTTCCTTTTGTGCCTGAAACACAAGTCCATCATGCAAAGGTCACCATTAAATGTAGAGCATAGCAGTGAATGTAGCCACCGCTTTGGATCTTGGCCACCACGTTGGACCACGTGCAGAACAAACAGAGGAGAGCAGGCAATGGGAGGAGAGAGCTGGGAGTGTTAGAGGAGCCAAAGACCCACATCTCACCACAGCCCCCGCTATAGGCCCCATTTCCTTACCCTGATGGTGCCCAGTGCCCCCTCTCCAACAATCCTTAAGTTATAATGGATGCTTTGGGGTGACATGGGTGCTGGGCTTTCCCAACCCACAAACACTGCAGCTCGCAGGAGATACTTGGTCACATTGTCAGGGGTAAAAGTCCATGCTTGAGCCTGAAACCACAAAGGGAAGGATAACACTGATGAGAGTTCCAGAGCTGTATTATAGAGATTACAATGCTATTTTGATAGAACCTGAGCTTACCATGGCTTCATAGGGCTGGAGGAGCCCTGCTGCTGGTCTGACAGACAGAAGCTTGCTGTCAGAGTGGTGGATCTTCCATGTGAAGGCCATGGGCAGCCTTGTGCAGTTCTTTATGGTATACCTTTGTGTTGAGGAGGTCCCTATGCAAACAGGCTTGAAGTATAGATTCCCATTACCTTCTAAGAGCAAGAGAAGGGACTCTGCACAACTCTGGAGCATGATCTCCTGTGGTGTTTAAGGAAAAACAATAGATGTTAGCCAGAAGTCTCAGCTGACCTTTGGATGGACCTTGAAAAGGGTTGCTTCTTCCAAGATGGAATCCAGAACAAATGGGCTGAAGGAGGAGGGAAGGACCCTGGAAAGAGCTCTGAGCATCGTATAATGCTTTCCAGGAGACAGAGACACAAGAAAAGAGGAGATATAGAGTATCTGGCATCATGAGCATCTTCCATCTGTAGTGTGGATGAAGAACTGAGAAGAAGATGAGTACAGTGGAAGAAATCATCCTCAGAAGCTTATCCTACCCTCTGCTTACCTTGGTGTACCCTGGATAGGAGTTCAGCTGCAAGGACAGGGTGTGCTGCTGTGATTGAGTGTTAAGTGGGCGAGTTGAAAGAAAGAAAATCTGGTGGCCTCCTGGCATGATGTGTCCTGAGTTGGGCTTGACCAAAACAGTGGGACAAGCAACTTGGTTCATGCTGAAGGTTATCATTGAGGTGCCAGTGTTTGAGAGCAGAGCACTGCAGTAGGTGTCCGTGTCAGAAGCTACAGGAGGAAAAGTCTGGAGGAAACAAACAAGAAGGACTGTTTGATCTTATGGGATCACTGTTTGACCTTATGGGATTTATTTTGATACAAATGCAGCAGGGAGAAGCAGGAAAACTTCCACTCCACCTTGCAAGCCTCTTACAAAACTATGGATTCTGTGCTCCGCTCTCCATTTGTCTAAGTGCGTGTGGAGTGCCTAAGGCACCTGAGAGGGGACTAAGCACTCTTGTCAGTGCCTACACCCACTTAAACAGGCAAGAAGGAGATTCCAAGAGCTTTCCACTCAGAGCTGACGAGATGCTGCATGCAACCTGTCATGTTGAAGTTTGGGAAAGTAACACAGGACAAAAGACTTCCAATTTTTTCCCAAACCAGGAGTCTCCCCATCATAGTAAATCATCCAAGACATGCCTTAGGATGTTGCAATGGGGGCAAAGCAAAAGTTCATGAGTAAACACTGAGCATCTATGCAAAATTCCAATTTCTTTAAGTCCACACACCTTGGGGACATCTAGGAGGTACTGTGGGATGAAATGCTCCCGTTTTGCTTCATATGTGTGCGCCCTCAGCCTGATGGTCAGGCACCAGGGTGGGCAGATGGTAGCATCCTCCTCAATATTGCTGTATTGTCTCAGAACCTACAGGCATGGAGGAGACAAAGCTGAGTGCATGAGGGAGAGGAGCATAGCAAGGTACCTCCTGCCATTGCTACTAACCTTGTAGAAGGCAAAACCTTCCAGCTCTGCGGCGTAAAGGCTGTTGAGCTGGGTGGGCTGAAAAAGGACACGGAAGGCTGAAGACTTCAAAGGTGGGATGTCACAGCTTTCGGGGGTCACTTGGAAAGCACTGCCGTGGCTTGGAGTCCAGACAACGGTGATCTTTCCTTTGGTGTGGTTGGTGACACAGAGAGGAAGTGGTTCTGCCTTGTGGAGTGGCACACAGCACCCAAAATCATGCTCCCTGGGGCTGACACTAACGTGAGGTGGAAACAAGGCCAAGTCGCTGTTTATGCCATCACAGAAATATTCACTCATGGAGCTGGCTTCAGTGTATTCCTTGGGGGGTTCGTCCAGAGGGATCTACAAGATAGGAGTATCTTAGTGTGTGCAGGGTTGCACCTTGGACTTCAGGGAGGGCAGCTCATACCTCAGGAAGGAGCATGAGGGCCCTCTTCTCATCCATCTGCAACTTCCCATCCTTCAGCATCGCGCTCAGGATATCAGGGGGATAGAAGGTCAGCCCCCTTACTGTGTTGGTTCGGTACCAGGAGAGGTGTCTCGCCTGCAGGATGGCTGGCTTAGTGGTGTCTGAATGGCAGGTACCAAAGAAGTCCACATACAGGGGTCCCTAGGGAAAACAACAGGAATTCTTGTACAAAGTAAGCTGCCCTTCTATGATTACCTTGAAAGTTACCTTATAGATTACAGAGACATACGGATTTCCTACTAGCTTCAAGAGCCCTGGTGGGTTACACTGCAAAAACCCTCTGAGCTCTCACAGTGGTGATACTGCCCGCTGCTCCCTTACCTGGTGATGAACAAGGCACACCACTCTTCTGTGGTAGCTGATGGGGTGAGCAGGGCAAAAGATCACCTTCAGCACTAGGGTTGTTGTGCCCTCCAAGACCCCACAGGGACGATCCAAAGTGAAGACGCTCCCCCTGCCATCAATATCAAACTGGTAGTACGCAGGGACATCTGACACATTGCTGATTTTCAGTGTCTGCATTGAGCTTTCCCCAAGGTTGATCCAGTCGAAGTCTACAGAGGATTGGTGCAGGGACACCAAAGGGCCTAGAACAACAACAAGACACAACCAATCTTTTCCAGCCAGCATGGCTTCACCAGCAAACCTACCAGTCCCAGTAAACAGCTTCACATTCACCTCCAACTATCTCCCATCTGTCTCAAGACAGTGTAAACTTAAATCAGTGCCCCAGAAATGGCATGGATGGCAATAGAAGGTACATCTACGAGGGCTGGGACAGTCCCTAGCTCTTCCCCAGGCACTAGTACTTCCCCTGCAGAGCTGAGAGGAAGTCAGAAACGTGGGAAGCTTTCACCTTTACATGAGCCAACCATCTTTAGAACGGTCTGCTGGAGGCACCCAGTGGGTGTGACAGTGAAATAATCCGTGCTGTGCTCTCCTACTGCCTGTGGCTGAAACCGTATGCACAAGGCCAGCTTCCCTTTGGCAGGGACAACAGCATGGGACATGTTGCAGGAGAAGACGTGATCTTGGAGCAAAGGGTCTTTTGCTCTTTCTATCATACATGGTGCATCAACCTGCAAGCAGACAAGAAACAGGCTCATCATGTTTTATTCACACTCCCACCTAGGCTATTTTCACAGCATTATAGGAAATTCCCAAACCACATCCCCCAGGGACACGTGCCAACTTGTCATCCTCTTACAAGAAGCAGTCTCCCTCTTTACATACCGCAGACATGTTGAGGATTTCTACACACTTCTCCACTCTTGTGCCCACTGGCACCGATCCAAAGTACAGCACATCCTGTAATTTGCCAGGCTGTCCACCTTTGTGCTGTTCCCCTGGCACATTCACTTGCAGATGGGGGTATTTGGCTGTTAAAGAGGATAATACGCAGCATCACCTCCAAGCACAGCACCTCTGTGTATCCCTGTGGGATGCTGCCCTAAGGTTAGAGACAATATATGTTAATGAGCATTAAACACAAGAATGACTAACCCTGGGCTCTAAGCTGCATGGTTCTCTTTTGCTTCTCTTCAACACCAAACCAACACGTTGCTATTACGTTGCACACTGCAGCTGCCTTGGGTTGGAAGAGCACCTTAATGGTGCACTCAGCACCTGCGCTCAGCACACCGTATTCAGGAATCATGTAGAAGGGGCTGGGTGTCTCCCAGGCAAACACCGTGATGAGATCACTAGGAAGCAAGGACGTTTGGAGAAGATGAATGGAGCCATTCTGCCTGTGCAGTCGTGCATAGGATGGCCTTTCCCTATGGGTTGCTCAGTTAGGATGTGAAACAAGCAATGGTGAACGTCAG